CTCTTGCCATCATTAGTTTCTCTTTCTCATGCTTTTATTTATTCATGTAAGAATTTTCATAACCTAATGTGATCCAGGCCCAGCAGCGGGTGCAGGGAAATTACCCATTAATCGCCTTCATGCCCAAGGTGTTCTCGTGTGTACCACACTCTCTTACTTCCGTGGGTTATACTATTGAGACCGTACGGATTCCCTGCACAAAGCTGAGGCCAGCGGTGGCTTCTGCGTTGTACATTTATTTCATTAAAAAGTTTTAATTAAAAAAATACATATGGGTGTTTTGCCCACATGTATGTACACATACCATATATATGCCCGAGGAGGTCAGAAAAAGGTGTTATATTTCCAGGAGCTGATATTCCAGACGGTTATGAGCTGACGTGTGAGGGCTTAGCATTGAACCTGGGTCCTCTGCAAGGGCAGTAAATATACTTAACCATCGAGCCATCTCTCCAGTCCTGTACATCAATTGTTCACTGATCTGTGCCAACGCTACTCTTCTTAGGAAACTCCCTACTTAGAATAGAGACACAGTCAAGGGCAGGAATCATCGGCTAATCCCTTGTAAAAATTTCCTTGGAAATTAATTGCCATGAGAATTTTACTTTACAAGAGGAGAGTCTATGCCTTTTACTTCATCAAGCTTAAAGTTTAAGAATTATGTTGATTTTGGGTCTTCTCCAGCAAGAAAAGGCAGAGTCAGTGTAAGGAGTAGGGTTTTCCCCGCCGGCCTGGACCCACAGCCACGCCAGCCCCAAATAACACACAGAGGCTCTGTATTAGATATGATGCTGTTGGCCAGGTACTAGTTTCTTATCGGCTAGCTCTGTCTTAATGATTAACCCATTTCTATTAATCTAAGTATTTCCTCATGGTCTCATCTTACCAGTGAGTGGGGCCGGCGTCTGGTCTCCCCAGTCTCTCCATGCTGACTCCTCCTCACTCCTTCCTCTCTCCTCCTTGTCTCCTAGTCCCGCCTATCTTGCTTTCCTATTGGCCAACAGTGCTTTATTCATTAACCAGTATGAGAAACATATTTACAGAATGACTTCTCCTATCAGTCAAGTATTGGCTTAGGCTCACTAACCACGTGGAACACAGAACCTGCATAGTTTCACTTACTCAGCTCGTCTTAGCTGTTGGTCGTGTTTTACCCAACTGGATTTGTTCCTTGAGGTTTGCCTCTCTCCATATATTACTCAAGGCATGAAGGATTTTGTGAACAAAGATGTAAGTAGAAGGTACCATAGACATTGAGCTCGTGAGCTCTTTGTGGACGAGGATAATGTGCTCATCCCATCTCTTGATGCCAGCATCTCTAGTAGGTGTTTAATAATAGTTTGTTGAATTAAATTGGTGAAGGTGGCCTGTGATTCCCCCAAGTAGGCAAAGCAAAACTCAGGCTGTTTCTTTCCATTTGTTTTTCCTAAGAAGACTGAGGTCAGTCAGTGTCATAGTGAGAAGAATTTGAACCTTCCTGTTCCTAGCTGTAGACTCCTGGGTGAGTTAATCAGCTTGTCAGTACGCTTTCTTTCGGTTTAATGTGAAACTCCCTAGCAGTCTGTTCTGGGCCCACACACCCTCAGGCCCATAGTAGCAGTCAGCGTGAGGTAGGCGCCTCCTCCCTCCTTTCAATGGGAGAGCACAGGCAACAGGTTCTCTATTACCACCCGGAACTCAATGAACTGTGATGTCCTCTGTAAAATAGACTTAGAGTTTGACCTCACTGTGTGGGGCAGGGAAATTAATTGACGGTAGCACACCTTGCTTTGTTTGTTTGTTTTTTTTAGTTTTGTTTGTTTAATTTTAATGTCCCCTCCTTGAGGACGGCTCAGTACTGCTACGTAACTCACTTCATCAGTAGAACGATCTGGGTACATTTAGTCTTTTGCTGTCCAGGTGCTTCGCATCTGTGATCTTAGATACTTATTTTCTATTTTCGATTTAGTGCTAATTTGCATCAGGATAAAAATGTAGATGAAAATCCAGAGCCTCATTTGCATCTTCATATGAGCTCCCTTCCAAAAGTTGGGCACGTTTTTCTCCCGACTCCACGTACTTCCATAGACTGAGCTGGTTAGCACCCAGCTGCTGTCAATCATAGGACATCACATTCTGCTTTTCACTCTCGTGGTTTGTGTTTGCTTGTTTGGTAGCTTCCTAATAAAATACACTGGCCCTCACGAGATGTTCAGATGCTTACAGATGGTCAATGAGGAGGTCTGGAGTGTTCTAGTAGGAAGAGTCGTTCAGGGGAATGTCTACTTCACTGCAACATCAGCAGGGTGCTGATCTTGACGGTGGTAAAGTCTGCCTGCTACCACAAAGTTCAGTCTACAAATGCCACTGCTAGGGTAGACTGGCACGAAGGACTGTGGGTAAACAGGAGGGCCGGAGTGTCCCAGCGGAAGACCCATTCGTGTTCGGCATCTTCCTCCCCACAACTATAAAAAAATACTTAAAAAAAAAAAAAAAAAGAAGAAGAAGAAGCATCAGGTCACTTAGTTCTTGGCATGAGCAGGGCACTCAGTAGAGTTCACTTAAAGACCCATGCGCTAGGCAGGTTGCGTCCATGGGGCCAAGGTTTCTATGAAATGTCATTATCCTGGAAATGGGAAAGACACATTTCCTGCTTGGGACCTTAAGTGGATAGAGCTATAGTTATTTATATCTTTATTAGTTTTAGATTCAGTAATAATGGATATGGACATGGATTGATACTTTATTGCCCTTGTGTGTGCATAACATTTTTACTTCTGGGGGGGAAATCTATGGCAAGAATTGAATTTAAATGTTTTTGAGGCAGCTTGTAAGTTAAAGCCAAGACAGCCACTTTGTGGCCCAATGCATTATTTTCACTGCCGATAATATGATTGAAATATAATACTGAAAATTGCCTCCTTTCTACTGCTCATGAGGCAAATGACCAAGGACGCCAAATTTCCAGTCTGGAAAATTCCGTCAGTGATATTTCCTTTGGGACAGGGGAGTGGGCACAGGAACGGTTTAAATTTCAAAGAAAATCTCACAAAGCCAACTGTTGTCTTGAGGGTTCCTACAAACAGAGGGAGCTGGGAACCTTAATCACTGGTATTTTTATGTTAATTAATTAATTGGTGTGTCTGTGTGTCCAGCAGAGGACAGCAAGCGGGAGTTGGCTCTGTCTTTCCACCATGTGGGCTGAAGGAGTCAAATTCATTCAGCTTGTCAGCCTTGCTCTCATTCTCTGGGGCATCTCACTGACCCTCACTTAAGTTTAATGTTGACTTTGCAGTGATTTTCCTCAAGTTTCCAAAGTGAAAAGGTAACTGACTTCAGAAGAAGGAAGCAGGCAGACTTCCCCCTGCTTAAGCCACGGACACTTGCTTATTTGTCCTGGAGTCTGTGGCTTGCCCCTGGGGACATCCTGAGGGAAATGCATCCAACGATCCCAGGGCCTTTCAGGAGAAAGGATGAAACACAATGGGACCCAGATGAAGCACTTTCCTCCCTGAGAGCCTGCCACCCCCAGGGACTTTCAGCTTACAGTCTAGTCAAGAGATAACCCAAATCCCCCTGTGCCCTGTGTCTGTGGACTCTTCAAACCCCAACGAGCAGACAGCAGCCTGGTGTATGTCTGAAGCTCAGGCAAGTTCCCGAATCTCTCTGAGCTCCCAGACCCGAGAGAGAAGATGTGAGGCAGGCGTTCATTTGGTTGGGTGAGTGGAGAATTCAAGATGTCAGCAAGGACAGGTCAGAGAGGATGCAAGGGAAGCTTCAGAATAGCTGGGGCCCTGCCAGGGTGAAGGCAAAACAGCCTTGAGCTGCTGGGAGGAGCCAGGGCGTGGCCTTCATCTGAGTAGGCCACAAAGCCTAGGGGCTCTTTGGGAGCTTGTGAAATTGCAGACACTGAAGCAAGAATCGCACAGGGTCTGGAAAGGTTGAGCACTGGCTGGAATAAGAGCACTGCTGGGGTGGCAAGCTCCACAGGTGGGCGGGGCTTTGCGGTGGGCGGGGCTTTGCGGTGGGTGGGGCTTCCTGGCTTGTTCAAGGGAAATAGAAAGTGAAGCAAATTAAGATAATCCCTGATGTTTTCAGGGAGGAAAATGGCAAGCTCGGTCGTATGAAAGCTTCAGATTGTGGCTTCTGTTGTCGATATGTTTCGTTTTTATTTATTTGTTTGTTTTCCCCATTCTTGAATTTTCAGAGAATCGGGCTGCTTTGTTGCATACATACTTAGTATGATTGCTTTAGTTAACTGAGTTCATCAAACTTGTGAAACAATCCTTCAGTAATATTTAGTATGTAGACTATACTGACGATCAGACTATACTGACAATAACAAAATCTTTATTTGTGAACCAAAGTACAAAAGAGACATCTACTGTGTTTGGGGGTAATACATTGGCAAAGGACATTTTCAGATAATCTATGCCCCAGATCACAATGAAGTCAGCGAATACTGTTGCCCGCTTCCTAAAGCAAAGGTCTATCTTCTGCTCTCAGTTTTCACACCGGAAAACTCTTCAATAGAAGTTTTAAAGACAATGAAATCAATTGTAACTTTAACTACCTTGCTGCCAGCTTCCTTCCTGTTTGGGGAAAAAAAAAATAATGTGTTAGTCAAATGTCAAAATAGTTGAATGTTTGCCTGCCTGGGTCTTATTGGCGTATGAAGTGAGCCAAGTGGCATCTTAATTCCCAATGAGTATGTGACAGTCATGGAGTAAAGTCAAGATTTAAGTTGGGTGGTCCTTGACTTTACTCGGTGCTCTCCTAATGGGCACAGTCCCCTCCTCTGAAGTCCGGATGCTGCTAGCACACTGGATGTTACTCTGCATCCCTATACTCATGAACAGCACTGCTCAGAGTCCCTGAGGCTCACGGGGATCAGAAACAGAGGAATTACTGGAGAGGATTCCTGCAGCAAATATTGTAAGAGAGTAGAAGGGGAGGGAATAGACACACGGTGTGACCAACCTTATGGATGCTGTTGAGTGACAGGTGTCTTTGTTTTACAGTTGTTCAGCACATCAAGAGACACAACATCGTGCTGAAGAGGGAGCTTGGTGAAGGAGCCTTTGGGAAAGTTTTCCTTGCGGAATGCTATAACCTCTGTCCTGAGCAGGATAAGATCTTGGTAGCTGTAAAGGTAAGAGAACATTCCAGAGTAGCTCCTTGTTCCTGGCCCCACTAAAGTGTGGGAGTTTAATTTTGTTGTATTTTAGTGACCAATCCGTGAGTACACTCTGTCTTCAGTGGTAGACGCATTTTTAGATTCTTATGCCCAAATGAGTAGCCAGAAGGACACTTGGGTCACATTCAACTGCCCATCAGAAGTGATTCTCGGGGGCAATCATCCAATTTTCAGGTCACAGCTAGCTCTAAGCTTCTTTTTAAAGTTATACTAACCAAATTCTAGATCCAGGTCAATGGGATCAACCATCTAAGCTATGGTACAAGCTCCTCTCCTCTGATTCCCAATGCTGGCGACTCCACTAGCTGGGACTTGTTACATATCCTAGACACTAGAAGGAAAGAGTATTGACTGTGTTGCACTGTTATTTCGTATATGCCATCTATACTTGTCCCTTCCAAACTGTGTGAAGCCACAGGGTATTGTTTTACAGCATAGATAGGATTTCACCAAGAGTTGGAGGGCATCTCCTTTAGATTCTGCGATCATAGAGCATGTAGGGTTTCTACAGTAGTGAGAAATCTAAAAGTCATCTTCCCCCAAACTAAAAGAGGAGCCCTGGTCTTCAATAAGGTAAATATTAATATTGAAAAGGACAATTTTCTATAGAGCTTAAGAAAAATGACACAAAGGACTTGGGCAGATTTTTTAAACATGATATATATATATATATATATATATATATATATATATATATATTTGCAAACTCACCAAGGTATTTTTGATATATGTATATCAGTTGTAAAATAAGTGAGTGTCAAATGAATGTGGACATGGCTAATGTAATAAAATTTAACCTCTTAGATTAATGAAGGATGGCAGAGTTCTTGTTGAGTTGTGTTTCTGCTAAACAGGGACCATTTGCACAGATCATGTTTATTTGGTCATTATAAACGAGGCAACATTTATTTCTTTAGGAAATGTGGTGCATATTCCACTATGATACCAAGTATGTTATACATATATGAATAACTAAGAGAATAAAATTATTCTTAAAGTTATCCATCCTGAATACCAAAAGTTTTCTAAAGCTTTATTTCAGATAGAAAAATTGTATTTCTTCTCTCCTCATTATCTGAAATCATATAGAAGCCCTGTTGGGAGTGTCATGATGCTTGTAAACTCTCCTTGTCTCCTAGTCCCTTCTATCTTCCTTTCCTATTGGCTAACAGTGCTTTATTATTAACCAGTATGAGAAACATATACAGAATGACATCTCCCATCATCTCCTCTTTTCTGTCTAAATAAAAAGAAGCGTTTTAACCTTAACATAGCAAAATATATCACACAAATAAGAATAACAGTTAACAATATTTAGTCCATTAACATTTAGTAAGATTTGAAGAAAATATTCCATCATCTATTTTATCTTTGTGAGTCTAAAGTCCTATATGTACCTTATCATTGAATCCTAACTAAGGAAAACTATAACCATAACTATCTGTCTTCAACTCCTTCAAAGACCACAGAAGGATAGTATATAAACTCTAGAAATGACAGAGACATCTTGCCTTTTCAGTCACCTGAAGTTCTTCTGTATCTTCCATCTTCAGCAGTCACTTTTCTGTGGGCCCTGCATGTCCAGTTTATATAGCACAAAGTCAAACAGTCCAGACAAGAGCAGTATCTTTGTCCAAATGGCTAGTCTTGCCATATTGGAGGCAAACTTCATAACGCGTTTCTTCAATGTCCATCTTCCTTTCTGACACAGGTGGTGTTGCCAGGAGAAATTGTGCCTCATTGTCAAGAAAAACCCTAAACCATTTTAAATGCCATATTCTGTAGGTCTTTGAAAGGTTTGAAGAATGCCTATCCATCTCAAATATATGTCTGTATATCTAGAAATACTAACTAACTTAACTATAAGTTCTATCATAGGTAACTATCTATAATCTGTACTACATTATACATTACATTTCTAACTGAGCACAATAAACACAATACCTAAACAAGAGGAGAAATATACATATCACCTTATTGACCTTAAGTTGTATCAATAAATGAAAATCTGTTCCAAAACAAAGTATTTAGCCTTTCAATGACTAAAGGATCAATGGCTCTAGAAATCATCAGCTGTCAAATACACATTCTGTCTTCACCGTAGGAAAATGGATGGAAGCTTGAGGAAGGAGGGGGAGAAGGGGGCCATTCTAAAAGAGACGTGAGACCCAGAGGGCCAGAGGCTGCCCCAGGAAGGGCTGTGGTGCCCGAGGTGATTCATTCCCACTCTTGTAAGAAGTAGGATTCTTTTCTCCTATCTGCTGATAAAGTTTCCCTGTTTTTTTGGCACATCACATTCAGGGCATTTGGCAGTGTCCTATGTCTAGTTTCTGCTTTCTTCTTCAATCTTCTTTACCTTTGGGGTACATGAGACCAAATGTGTTGCTATTTTTGCACTTTTATACATGAGCAAGTGTTCAGGCTGGAAGAATCACAGGGGGTGTCTACCCTTAACGGGGCCATTTGTATCAAATGAGCAAAATGGAGACCTAGGCCCATGCTGGATCTGTGTTTTTGCACTCTGTTCGGCAGCCTAGACAGGCTTCAGGCTCTGAATTCCCTTCATGACTTCATACATGTGACCCCTCGAGTATGTGAAACTCCTGGATGACCAGGGGATTATAAAGGACAGTGTGGGATACCCTTGGCCAGGTATGTGGATGTCCAACAGAGTTTTCAGTGACTCTGGCCTCTCATCCCTGCCCTGTGCTGACTTTCCTGTATTTTTGCAATGCCTTTAAGGAAAGGTGCTGTGTGACTAAATTCAGGAGATTCACAACTTGTGCATTCAGATCCCTTTTGAGCACACACACACACACACACACACACACACACACACACACACACCAAGTGGCTGACCCTGCCTACTAACCATGCTGGAAAACTGATTGTTCTCAGGTAGGTCTTAGCCCACCTGACTCAACCTCAGCAGAGGCTTGAGAAGACCATTTGCCATCTGCTTCCGTGTTCACAGCATGCTGCGTTTGGGGTCTGCTTCCATTAGCATTGACGATTAGACCCCCACTCGTCTTTAAGTCCTAATTACAGCTCAAAGTTTTTGAATCAGACCTAGCACCCATTTTTCCTGTAGTAGGTTTGTGTAAATTAGTGACCTGTGATCAACGTTTGCTCATTAAACACTGCTTCTGGGGGGGGGGCGGATAAAAGGTCCTGACCCTTTGTCAAACCCTGATTTCTCTTTGCAAGTCTACTTGTAGTTAAAATGAAATTTTCACCTGAAATAAAAGGGAGAAAGGGACTGTAGATTAGAATTTTATTCTTACTCCATGACCACAGGCCTAAGGAGTTTCACAGCAATGACCTCGAGTATGAGTGTTTGTTAGAACCTACGATAACCCAGGCTTCAGTCAGGGCACAACGTCAACCCTCTGGCGCTCGGAGGTTGTGTCTTTGCGAGCTCCATTGTGAATCAGGTCAGAATAACTTGCAGACCTTGCACAGAGCCTCCCTGCAACCTGGCACACTCACTTGGAGGGATTTAGTACAGTTGAAAATGTAATCAGAACTAAACTACTCTTGGGAGAAAAAGTCCATCATTCTGCTCTGACCACGACTAAAGGATTTATGTTTTGTGTTTCACTTTTTAAGCGATGTCAAACTGAGCACATCTTCCAGGACAGCACAGCCTCTCACCTCTCTGCAGTGGCTTGGGTTGCTCGTATTCCATTGGCTACACCAGGGGATGTTTGACAGCCTTTCACTGTTGCCTAGCAACCTCTGCAGTACTGACTGCATGCTAAGAAACTGCAGCCATTGTCCTTTCTCCTTCTCTGCAAGGAGCTGACTCTGGTTTGAAATCCAAAGCTTTACATCCAGATTGACAGACATCAGATTCATGTGAATTTCAGTGCTGATTTTCCCAAATAATTTAGTGTCCTAGGCCATGTTCCCACCTTCAAGGGCACACAGGCTGATCATACCTATCCTGGTAGAGGGTTTGTTTGTTTGGTTCAACTGGATTGGCCTTTTCTTTTTTTTTGGGGGGGGAGGGGTGACCTTTGTTTTCAGTGAAATGGATTTGTCAACAACTTTCCCCTTTATATTGAATTATAATAAAATTAAAACCCATAGAGAAGAGAGAAGTGAAGAATTTAGTCTTTGATCAAACCCAGTTACCCAGTTACTTTACCTTTGAGTTACTTGGTTGCCAAGGAAACGCTCCATTGCAGTTTCCCTGCATTAACTGCCAATGCATTAGCTATTTTTGGCTCCGTCCAACATGCATTTCAATGACTGCCCTATCTGCGACATTTTTTCTTTCCATATTCTGAATGCAAGCTGATTTTTTGGGGGGGGGGTTTCAAATAAAGCTGCAAGTCTGCTTTGCAGGATTTATGCCCCTCCCTGGCTAATTCCAGTTTATTTCTAGAAACAAGGAATGCTGAATATGAGAGAGACCTTTAAAACCATATAAATAAAACCATAGCCTCTTGTTTTATGGATGAGAAATCTGAGACCCAGGGAAGGCAAGTGACTCTCTCAAAGTATGAAGTTAAAGGAGCTGGAGAAGACACACAGGTGAACTCTTGGGTTAACCAGTGCTGTCGAATTCAGCAGACGATATACATGTTTCTGAATTCCTTCTTCCCCACAGAGGAAATGATGGCGTGTTTCTCTACTAAGAGTTTTGGGAAAGTAACTTACAAATTATCTTTCCACCGAAAGGCAGGTCCAACCCAGCATCCTCACCTAGTCCATCAGTGCAGGCAACTTGTAGATTCCCAAGAAAGTTTTGACTTCAGGGAAATGCAATTAAACCTCATACCCCATACTTGACTTTCCTAAAAAGAATGCAGGGATCATGGGAAACCCAGGTCAGAGTGATGTAGTCCTGAGGGCAATGCTCTGGAAAACCACCCTGCTGGAAAGCATCATCACTGTTAGCCTGGCTTCAGTTCCTGCAGGCTTTAGACAGTCAACTGGTGTTTCCCTGT